TGACACCTAATCCCATTATACAGGTTATAGTTTTCCCCAAGATCTGGATGTACCCCAAGATTAGCAGGTACACCAATACTGATCTGGGTGACCAACATATCCAAAATTCACCCAGATCAGACCAGGGGTTCGGGAGTTAGGTGGAGGGTGAAATTTGACCGACCACACACGAGGTGGTATCCGAAGAGGGTTCCATGCGTTTTGGCCCTGCGGTCGGTCTCCGTTCGGGAGGTAAAAGACACATAAAAACCTGCCATCCACTAATACAGTTACGTTCGCATGACTTACTCTAAACGCACCGAACGGGCTGATTCGTCTTCCCGTTCGTGAGTTATGGAGTTCTGGAGGTGTCAGCGGTGTTCGGGTAATTGAGTGTCCGATTTGAGTTCCAAACACCCGACGACCAAACACCGCTGAGCCTTTCGTGAATAAGATGGCCGCCACCACGTGTTCGCATGCCTAATGGCGGCCAGCCAGATACATCCATAAACCACCTATTAGTCTGCGGTTAGCAAGTACTTTACAGCTTAACGAGGGACACGCTTCACTCTGGGGTGGTCTATTAGTTCGGTAGTTTCCATTCGTATGAAATACAGATGGAAACTACCGAACAATCATACGAATGCTACTTACAATTAAATACAAAGCAGAAACAACACACAAATTGCAGGATTCTCATAGTCTTTAACCCCTTAAGGACCAAACTTCTGGAATAAAAGGGAATAATGACATGTCATACATGTCATGTGTCCTTAAGGGGTTAAGGACAGCCACAGTACCATCCGCTACAATGATTACACTTCCTGGCATGATAAAAAACAAACTGGTGTATTTTATTATACCAGTATGCATGTGTATTAAAGGACCACTATAGTGCCAGGAAAACATACTCGTTTCCACCCTCAGGGTATATTTTTTTTGGTCTGTGAATTACAATCTAATTGGTTGAAAGTGCCAGAAGACAGTCAAAATGCAACACTGATTTCAAATTGGTACAATTACTTTTTTCCTGTTTGTGGCAGCAACATTTTTCTAAAATGCACAGTGTATTTGCAGAAATAAGCTCCAATAGAGGCAATTCTATATATATATATATATATATATAGATAGATAGATAGATAGATAGATAGAGAGAGAGAGAGACCCTTTAAATGAAGTCCTTGGAGTGCTTTTCCTATTCTATTTCTATTAATTTTTGCTGACAAGCACCGGGATATACTGATATTTTTAAGAAAAAGATTAGGTGTACACTCAGTATTGGAAATTAATGATAAAAACCACCACTGGTGTGCATATGGAGCGCTTACAAATTTGTTGACTCACCCATATGGGTTAACATACATATGTATGGAAAATGTGACTCATAGCGATATATCTGAAACAAATGTAAATGCAAGAAATAGTGCAGAGCCCTATAGGATAGGCTCAGATCTCAATGGCCTGCGTGTGCTTATGGTGACACAGTACCCAATCGGTCCTCTAGGTGTCTGGAGATCCTTATGCATACATGAGAGAGAGAAAACAAGGGGAAGAGGAGAAACCCTAGTGCGGTCAATCCCAATGTACAGTGTCAAATAGTGCAGAAAAAGTGGCTTCTCACCTGATGTGGAGCCCTATACCTGGCTCCTGGTGTGTAGGTGTCTGTGCCTTTAAGGGGGCAACTACCCTTCTTTAAGCAGCAACAATGGAGGGTGGATTCCAAATATAAAACAAAATTTATTAAATAAAGTAATAAAAGCTTACAAGTAAAATATAAACAAAATTGTGAGAAATTATAAAATGTGGAATCTTCAATCCTCCAGCCGAAACATGTTTCACTGTACCCAGACAGCTTTTTCAATCGATTAGTTGCCCCCTTAAAGGCACAGACACCTACACACCAGGAGCCAGGTATAGGGCTCCACTTCAGGTGAGAAGCCACTTTTTCTGCACTATTTGACATTGTACATTGGGATTGACCGCACTAGGGGTTCTCCTCTTCCCCTTGTTCTCTCTCTCTCTCTCTCTCATGTATGCATAAGGATCTCCAGACGCCTAGAGGACCGATTGGGTACTGTGTCACCATAAGCACACGCAGGCCATTGAGATCTGAGCCTATCCTATAGGGCTCTGCTACATGTGAGTGAGACCATATAGAATATTCCCTCACTGCACTAATTGAAAACGTTATCTGCCCTATTTCTTGCATTTACATTTGTTTCACATATATCGCTATGAGTCACGTTTTCCATACATATGTATGTTAACCCATATGGGTGAGTCAACAAATTTGTAAGCGCTCCATATGCACACCAGTGGTGGTTTTTATCATTAATTTCCAATACTGAGTGTACACCTAATCTTTTTTGTACTAATCTATAGGGTAGAGAGTCCCTATTTGTGTGGTAGCTACTGTCATTCTATTCAATTATTAACTGAAAGCGCCTTGAAAACACACATTCTTATTTCTGTATACTGATATTTTTACTGGAGTGCAAGCATTGGACAATATTTATATATATATATATATATATAGTATATTAAATGTGAAAATCACTTTGAATTCATAACTATTCTCACTTTAGTGAATAATCCTCATGGTGTATTGTGTTTATAGCCCAAATAAATATCTATTTTTATTTTTTAAATGTGCAGCTCTAGGGCACTTAAAATAGTGTAAATAAGAATAATTTTAACTCAAGTTATTGATTTGTTAATCCCTTAAAAATTATATTTCATACATCATCTTTCTCTTGCAATATTTCAAACCAAGGGATGTTAAACAATAGGAAATGTTTTTGGGTGGTTTATCAGCAATGTGCTTGATTTATTATTATTATTATATTATTTATATAGCGCCAACAAATTCCGTAGCGCTGTACAATGATTTGAGTGGATATGCTGTTATTTTCTGGTGCGGTTGTATTGATATCACAATAACCTTTACTAACTGGTGTAAGCAAGCAGCTCTACCATAGAAAAAAAAACCAGGTACAAAACCCAACCCACAGGAAAGCATGGAAACTGCATTGCCCAAGAGAGATGACATAGTAGTTTTATGGTGGTAGTAGTAGCAGTAATAGTAGTACTGGTAGCAGTTTCTCTACATGACTTAAAGGAACACTATAGACCCCTAAATTACTTTAGCTAACTAAAGCAGTTTTAGTGTATAGATCATTCCCCTGCAATTTCACTGCTCAATTCACTGTCATTTCGGAGTTAAATCACTTTGTTTCTGTTTATGCAGCCCTAGCCACACCTCCCCTGGCTATGATTGACAGAGCCTGCATGAAAAAAAAACTGGTTTCACTTTCAAACAGATGTAATTTACCTTAAATAATTGTATCTCAATCTCTAAATTGAACTTTAATCACATACAGGAGGCTCTTGCAGGGTCTAACAAGCTATTAACATAGCAGGGAATAAGAAAATCTTAATTAAACAGAACTTGCAATAAAGAAAGCCTAACTAGGGCTCTCTTTACAGGAAGTGTTTATGGAAGGCTATGCAAGTCACATGCAGGGAGGTGTGACTAGGGTTCATAAATTAAGGGATTTAACTCCTAAATGGCAGAGGATTGAGCAGTGAGGCTGCAGGGGCATGTTCTATACACCAAAACTGCTTCATTAAGCTTAAGTTGTTCAGGTGACTATAGTGTCCCTTTAAAGGATCACTATAGTGTGAGGAAAACAAAGCGGTTTTCCTGACACTATAGTCCCCTGAGGGTTAAAACCCCTCCAGCCACTTACCTTATTCCAGCGCCAGGCTCCCTCAGTGCTGGTGACCTCTCCTCCCCCGCTCTCTCTGCCGACATCAGCGGAGCACTAGAGGCTGGCTTAACCCCAAATGTAAACATAGCAGGTTTGCATCTGAAGGGTTAAAACTTGTGGAACCTGGAACCCAGACCACTTCATTGAGCTGAAGTGGTCTGGGTAACTATAGTGGTCCTTTAAGTCTGAAACTGAATGCACTCAATGCTGAAGTCTCCAATAAATGGCTAATTCTTTGCTTAACACTAAGAAATTCATAATGGTTTCTCTGTCATACAAGGTTTTAAACCAAAGTTAAAATGCAACACGAACCTCAAATTTAGGGCCAGGAAGTATAACTGACTTAGAGAATGCTTCCATCTTTACCTTAATTCTACACTTGGCAGGATCCTAGTAAGTTGTCACACTATACTTACAAACAAACAAACAAAACCAAAACAGTTTGACTACTTACTACATACCATGCAACAGTTCCAGAGCAATCCTGGCTCCATAACCACTAAATCAGGTTGGCAAAACATGTGGAAGCACATTTTTCAGATTCTGATCTCTGTTATTCAGTATAATCTGACTCCTGGTCTGCCATTCTAAACTGAAGTGAGCATCTGTATTGTGAAGACTTAACCATCCCCGATTTTGAATTTAAAACTTAGATTTGGCTCATCATGCTAATGGTACAGAGTGCAGTTACCCTCCCACAAACGTTTTTGGGAAAGTTTTCTATGGCAGGAGTTATTCACACTTACCGATTTGATTAATCTTTAACCACTTCTACCCACGTTTCCCCACAAACGACATGATGGGCCATGGATGTAGATTCCCTAGATCAGTGCACCTCAACCCTCTCCTTAAGGCAAACCTAACGGTCCAGGATTTAGAGATTGCCCTGGTATGTCTAAGGTGTTTAATCCCTTAAGGACACATGACATGTGTGACATGTCATGATTCCCTTTTATTCTAGAAGCTTGGTCCTTAAGGGGTTAGGGTAAAACAGCAGGGTAATCCCTAAAATCCTGGACGGTTACGTGTGCCTTGAGGAGAGGGTTGAGGAGCACTGCCCGAGAGCACCAGTTTTAACCCTTCAAACTTTTGTTGGCGTTACAGCCTTCAATGGACGATGTTTGGATGGCATTATCACGATTCTCTGCCCGGTCAAGTCTTACTCCTGCAAGACTTGTCTACCAATGTTGCATGAGTCAGTCTGAATATTCTTTTGAGATGGCATAGGCAAACAAATATTCCACAGTCATGTGTTTTGTCACATTTTTATTTAAAATTTGTGTTAGATTAAGACAGATTATTTGGTCAAAGGTAAGAACTTCAATCTTGAAACTTTTCTAAAGGCTTCTACTTTTTTGGCCCCATGTTAAATTGAAATTTCTTTTTTTAAATCCCCAAAAAAACAAGGAACTGAAAATTGCATATTTAGAAGTTGAGGATGTGGGAATACAATTAAACGTGTCACCAGGCCAAGCACACAGTAACAAGACTTGCCTGGAGATGCACTTTGATTGGTTGGCTTGTAATTAAGTCTACTCAGTCTTTATTTGATGTGGAGTTAAATTCTCGAGCAGTATTGAAATATTAGAGTTATTATTTCTGTCACATTCACTGGGTGTACAATATAAAATAATGCTAAATATTATGCATGGGTAAATGTAGAGAACTTCATAGCGCTTTAAAAATACAATTTTACATTTAGAAAAAACTTTTTTTAATGAAATTCGATTTTCCTCATTCTCACTGCAGAACTTAAATAAAGATGGATTCTATTTGTTTTTTCAACACACCACATTGAAAATCATTATATATATAGTAGTAGGTTTGTACCAATATGACATGTGTGGCCACTGCTTATAATTCTGAAGGTACCCAAGGAATAACAATAGACTTGAAAAAGTAAGTCTTTGAATAAAAATATATAAAAAGATAACTATCTGTAGCACAGAGGTTATACATAATGTTAATTTCTAGCACTGTTCAGAAATAACGGAGCAGTACACAGCATTAACATTTATCATAGTTTAAAAGTTTTTACTTTGATCTAATCTGTACAAACTATACATGGAGATATATAGTTATTAGGGCATTATTTTCACTTTTTTTTTTTTTTTTTCAATGTGGGTGTGTATGACAAGGCTTCTCTTTGAACTTGGCATCCAAACATTTAAAAGAACATCGTAGGAAGCATAACAACTTCACACATATGTGCTTATGGTGCCTGAAGTGACTGGGTCCCCATTACTAATAACCATTTACTCACCATTTAGTTTAAGTGCTCAACCAATCCACCAAGGATTAAATGGTGGAGGTACTAATAGCATACCCTAGCTGCTCTCAGTCAATCAATGCCCAAATTCATTGCAGGCATTGTTAGGATGCGAGGTGAAGCATAGCTCGGTCTCCACCAATTTCATTACTAGAGACTGTGCTGCAGGCTGTCAGGAGAGACTCCAGGCACCATCACTACTACAATCCACTGAAGTGGTTATGGTACTTACTGTGTCTTTTAAAAGGCACTCTAAGCACCATAACCTTTGCATTTTACCACAGTTGTTATGGTGCTATCAACTTATAGGCATCATCCACCGGTGTTCTTTTAGGCGGTTTCATGTTCCAGGAGGGATAAGCCAAATGGCAAATGATTTAAGTAAACTAGAAAAATAATCAGAGCTATGGCAACTGACATTTAATGTAGATAAGTGCAAGATAATGTATCTTGGGTGTAAAAACCCAAGGGCAGAGTACAGAATATTTGATAGAGTCCTAAACTCAATATCTGAGGAAAAGGATTTAGGGGTGATTATTTCAGATGACTTAAAGGTAGGCAGACAATGTAAAAGAGCAGCAGGAAATTGGTTGTATAGGGAGAGATGTATTAGCAGTAGAAGAGGGAAGTGCTCATGCTATTGTACAGAACACTGGTGAGACCTCACTTGGAGTATTGTACACAGTACTGGAGACCGTATCTTCAGAAAGATATTGATACTTTGGAGAGAGTTGAGAGAAAGGCTACTAAACAGGTTCATGGATTGCGGGATAAAACTTACAATGAAAGGCTAAAAGATCTTAACATGTATAGCTTGGAGGAAAGACGAGACGGGGGGGATATGATAGAAACGTTTAAATGTATAAAGGGAATCAACACAGTAAAAGAAGAGACTATATGTAAAAGAAGAATAACTACCACAACAAGAGGACAGTCTTAAATTAGAGGGGCAAAGATCTAAAAATAATATCAGGAAGAATTACTTTACTGAGAGAGTAGTGGATGCATGGACGGTTAGAGGTTAACACAGTGAAGGAGTTTAAGCATGCGTGGGATAGGCACAGGGCTATCCTAGCTATAAGATATGTCAAGGAACCAAATTAGAGTATTTAGAAAATTGGGCAGACAAGATGGCCAAATGGTTCTTATCTGCCGTCACATTCTATGTTTCTATGGTTTTGGAGTGGTTTGACATTCTCCATTATTCATTGCTAAGCCCACCTGCTTAAAACAAAAAACATACAAAAGCAATTATGAACTGCAAGTGCTGGATGGCTATGACCAGCTCTCTCAAGCCATCATTGTCATCAAAGGTTTGACAGATTAGATCATGCGGAAGTGTCATTTCTGCATTATCCAAGGAGCTGCAGAATGGTGCTGGGTAGTACTCCACTAACATTGTCAAACCACTCCAAAATGGGTTCACACTAAATCATGGAATAGTGCAGTTTAACTCTCACACCATAACTACAACAATCTATAGTGATTATGGTGCAGAGAGTGCCCCTTTCAGTAAAAAAAAAAAAAAAATCGTTTTAAAGCCGCACAAATAAAAAAAAATTTTTAAAACAATAATTCTCATAAATACCAAACGCACATAGAAACAGTTACGTATAAAATGAGTTGGCTGCAATATAAATAAAAGCTATAAAGAAAAAGAAAAAAATCCTGGATGGGCAAGTTGAGAAGGCACTTTGTGTATTTAAACACTCATCCTATGTATCCTGCTTGCCGTCATCAACCATTGTAATGTTGCTGATAACGGAGATTAAGCTCCCGCAGTTCCCGTTCTCTTACTCGCCGTGACTTTGTTGATTTTGTAGAGCGACTAGAACGAGTAGACTGTGAAGATTTTGTACTCTGACAACGTGAAGATGCTCTTTTGAGCAGATTTTGTGAGATGGATCGGTGAAGGTTCTTCATAGAGGATGAGGCAGCCATGCTAACTACCCAGGGGTGCTTTAGAGCTTGAGTTGCAGTCATCCTTTCTCCTGGTTCAACCATAAGCAGACGGTCAATAAAGTCCTTTGCCAAATTCGAAACACTAGGCCAAGGCTGCAAAAATTTAAGATAAAACACAATATAAAAGTTAGTTACGATACAAATAAACAATAATGACAGAGGGAGAGATGATACATTTTGATATATTTAATTTTAGAGGAATTAGACCATTAGAGGTGAAGTTTTGAGAATATATTCTCACTCTATTTGAAAAGCTTTGATAACACAAGATTTTAACGTCCCCTTGTATTATTCTTTCTTACAATGTTCTGACAGTAATTGTTTCAATTTTCATGTTGTGCATATTGCTTTACTTATTTTTTTAATTTGGTTTATGAGCCTTTTTATATTGGGGGTTCCTCTAAATAATATATTTGGACTCTCTGTCAAAGGGACACTATAAGCACCATTTCATCTCATTGAAGTGGCCTGTGTACACTGTACTTGTCCCCTTAGCCCTTCAGCTGCAAACATTGCAATGTCAGAGAAACTGCAATGTTTCCATTGCAGGCTTAAGACAGCCTCTAGTGTAGCGGTGTCCAAGTTTTTTTTGCAGTGTGCCAGTTTATCAGAAATATTTGTGTGCATGGGCTGCACTCATTTTTCACTGATAGAAAATACACACAGAGAGGCATAAACCGACACACATGCAGATACATAGATCCACATTGACACAACGATAAGCAGACAAGCACACTACCATATATGCAGGTACACACAATAACACACATACAGATACACGGGCACAGGCATACAGAAACACATACACATTTAGAAACATGCAGATATACACACACAGAATGACACACATTCAGATACAGAATGACACTCCGATACAAACACTTGCAAGCATACAGATACACAGTGGCACACAATAACTACACATGCGGATAGACACAATAACACACATACAGATTTACAAAATGAAACATTCAGATACATAGAATATAGATACACTCAACAAAATACAAACACTGACACACATACAGATACACAGGGGCACACACTGACACACATACGTAAAAACACAGGGGCACACCCACAGAGTCAGATACCCATACACACATGCAGATACATATACAGACACAAAGATACACACACTGACAAACATGCAGATACACAGAGTGACAGTCATATACACACAATGACACTCCTACAGATACAAACACATGCATACATACAGATACACAAGAGCACACACTGACACACATGCAGATACAGATACTCAAACAGATAAACATACAGGTGGTCCTCATCTTGCAACTCGCCTCGCACTAACCACCCCGCGAGAGAGCTGGTCGTAAGTGCGAGCAGTCATGGGTATTAGAGGGATTCCCTGCTCTGCTGCGTTCTTCTATGTTCGGGGATATTTCACAAATACAGACAGACAGATAAATGCACATGCAGACATACAGATACACACACCCATGCAAAATATATATTTTTTTCCCCACCACCCTTCTGTTTCCTACCTTTTGGGTGCAGGAGAGTGACTTCCCGGGAGTCCAGTGGCTGGGTGAGGCCTACCAGCTCTACCATTCTGTCCCTTTCTCTCCTCCAAAAACGAGGCTGGACATTCTCACGCTTTGCATGAGGACATCCAGGGTCTTCTAAAACTCCACAGGAAAGCATGGAGTCAATACTTTTCTATGGAAAAGACCTAATGCATGTGGCACACGCACATTAGGCCCCCCCTTCTACATCCCCTCCCCCCCCCCACCCCATCAGCTGACATCAGAGGAGGAGAGCGATGCAGCGCCTAGGGACTTCGATGCTGGAATTAGGAAAGTCTTTATTTATTATTTTTTTTACCCTTTACTTGCCACCGGAGAACGAGGAGCATGAGGGAGGGGTAGAGAGACCCTTTAGTGTTAGAAATGCAAAGATTACCTTCTTTCAAAATTATCCAATGTGTTTGGAAATGTATTTAATTTTCCTATTTTTATTATACTCTAAATTGATTAGAACCCTGTTTTTTTTTACTTTGCAGTAAACGCATTTCTTCTCAAAGTTCTCAATGAGCTTACATGCAAGAGGGAGTGGGGTAATGTTTCACAAATGTCTAAATGTAAAGTATGATATGCCCCTCTCATATCGTTGAGCTGGGTATAAAGAATTTAAAATAATAATAATAATAATAATAATAATAATAATAATAATATTTGTCCCCCAGTTATGTCCTCCCATGAATAATCAGAATCCCTTCCCTCGTCATTTGAGCTTTCACTTTTGTAATTAAAAGACATATGCCACTGTAGTTGCTGCTAACTCTATTGTATTTAGCCACATTTACCTTTTAAAAACAAGACTTATAGCAATATCAAAGCATTTCAAATAAAGTGAGCATATAATCTGATAGTATGAGGATTTATTAATTTTCTTCTAAATTCCTTTATCATCTATCCTGCTGTCACTATTTTTTATGCATTCTGTTTATATTTATATTGTAAGTTCCATGGTCCATTCCTGTACGTCAATCGGGTTTGTTAGAATTTAGTGTCGGTTTTGTTTACCCGCGCTGTGAAATATGTTGGTGTTATATAAATAGTTGAAATTGTAATATGGAGAATGAGTTCTATTTTATATTCACAAGATGGTGCCATTACATTTTTTTTTAACAATTTAAATGTTTTTCTTACAAAAGTTATTCTGTCGAAAGGTGTGGATTTTCTTTTATCGTTTTCATTAATATATTTATAGGACATTTGTTTATATATTTAGTAAGTATAGAATTTCCATATATATTTTTAATTTTATCTTGGCTCCATTTTAGAGGATGACACAATGTCCTATTAGGATCATTTGTTTTGTGTTTGTTTCTTTAGTATATGTAATCCATTTGAGGATAAACTGGTTTTATCATGTACCAGTTTATGTTAAGAGCCATCAGTTCTCCCTCCTTATTTTATTCTACTTTATTCTCTCAGACTGACACCCTTACTATATATAATTCAACTTAATTGCAGAACATTGCTCATTGCCAGTTAAACAAGCTTCAAAGTAGCATAAAAATCACTGGATTGGGGGCGGAGCCTAAAAGCAGAGGCAAGCAGATGCAAGACTCAGGAGCTCCGAGCAAAAACTGAGAAAATACACTTAAAAATGGCAGATACTACCCCCAATAACCACTGACCGAAAGCAGGAACCCCTTAGGTCTTATGGGACGCAAGTACTAGAAACAGACCCCGGACAAACCAGCCCCAAGACTCACAATAGGGGAAATGTGGCAGCAGGCATGCGGCCCGAGCGGATCCAATATGGCGGCGCTACACGGAGGCTGCTCTGATTTCTCAGACGACTGCTCAGGGGGAGCCGAAGATGAATGCCTCCTAGCCCCAGACCCAAAGCCGAAGGCAAAACCCAGCAAACCAAGGAAGGACCCAGACGCCGACCTGGTAAAGACCCTGCTAGCGGACCTACAAAAAAAATAAAAAAATAAATAAAAAATCCTCGTGGATGTCACTGCACTAAGGGGAGAGCTGCAGGGCCCGACAGGCCGCATTACAGTACTAGAGGATTCCTCCCAAGAACAGCAGCGCACTATCGCCTCACTGCAGAAAAATATGCGCAACCAAAATATGCTGTATGAACGGCGCTTCGCAATCCAGGAAGACACAAGACTCAATATAAAGGTCAGGGGGATCCCAGAGGGTTGCCGGAGGCTGACCTACCGCACACGATCAAGCGCCTGCTAACCACCATACTGCCCCCAGACCAAGCCAAAGCCATCACACCCACAGATCTCTTCCGGATTCCAAAATCCGCTGGGGCCCCAGACATGGCCACAAGGGACACTATACTTACCTTTAAAAATGGGTCAGACAAATGGACGGTCCTCACCGCCGTCCAGGGTAAAGTCCCCATACAGTTTTAGAATGCAAAATTAACTTTCTACGCCAACCTGTCCAGTGGAACTCTAGTGTGGCGCAGGTCACTTCGGCCTCTCACCTCCACACTCCAGCGCAACAACATACCGTATCACTGGCAGTCCTCACACACGCTCCTGGTACAACATGGCGAAACAACACACCAAATTTACAGCATGCAAGACGCAGCAGTTCTTCTACGAACCCTGGGTCTATCACAGGATTCACTCTCCCAAGCGGGACCACGTGCCCCCACCACCCCGACCCACAGCTGAGATCCAGCAAAAAGTGCCCCATTCAGACGCACAGCACCACACCGGTCACCTACACCTCGGTTACCACATAAATGGAGCCGAAGGGCGCACCCTCCAAGCTCAACAACAATACAACCTGCCTACATCGAACTACCGAGAAATAGAGTACCACGCCAGAGCGCCACCAATACCCCGCAAGGCATCGGCTGATGATATCAATAATGAGGACCCTGAGGACTCTTCTTTTCTCATCTTCTTTTTAACTCTCATTATGTATGCCAGCCTTTGGAGCAGGACTCCCCCAGGGGACCTTGTTGCTCTGATTGGCATGCTTAGGTTTATTCACCTGCAGGATTACACACATAGCCACTGTTTGTTTAATAATCAACTAATCTACTTATCCAGCCTTTAAATACTTATAGGGCACATAACTGTAATTTTTCCTTGTTTTTTTTTTCCCCCTTTTTCTTTGTTTTTAACCTTTTTTTTTTTTCCTTCTTGCATATGGGAAAAACGTCAGCAGGAGCTTAGACAGATCCCAGATATTCTAGCACCAATCCAACAGTAAAGCACAGTATTGTGCAAAAAACGCCTAATATGTGTAAGAAATATACACTATAAAACAGGTGACCAGCTAGATTAATGCAAAAGTCAGCAGAATGGAAGGAGCTGCAATACACAACAAAACTATTACATATACAGTTAAAATCATGAGCGATATGAGCACAAAGCTAAAAGATAATTATATTGCTAGCCATATTTTTAACTATTAGGAATTTAACGTGACACTGACCATCAAAATCAATGCATCATAAAGTAGTGGTTTTGTGTATAGATGCGGTGCCTTTTCTTGCAATACATAGCAAGACAGTTATAGTTACATTGGCTGGAAACACTCTAGTGGCTGTCTGACAGCAACAGGAGCAGCTTCCTCATTAACCCCTTAAGGACCAAACTTCTGGAATAAAAGGGAATCATGACATGTCACACGTCATGTGTCCTTAAGGGGTTAAGACCTTCGATTTTTGAATGTCTTAATGTTCAGCATCATCACGCACAACAACTTGATGCTGAGCAGCATCATACAATGTTACGTGGTTATTAGTGGATTAGGACGTTTGCTGCGCATGTGACATAGTTGCACAATTGTTCCTAATTCTTTTACATTTTACTAGGGCATTTAGTCTATTTCCCAAGGATGGAAGATCGTCCCTATTCCCTTAAAGCGAAACTATGAGTGCATTTGCTTTATTTATTGATTTATATTAATAAGGTTATTAGCACGTGTGTGACCCTCAGGATCCCCGCTGTAAATTTTAAAATTTAGCCTAAATAGGGCCTTTATTTTCCTTGTTTCCATTGCGGAGATATAAGCTTGTGTAGCCACCTGCTCAGCCTCCTTTTCATCTTTTCTCCTCTACTTTTTCTAACAATTTTAGTCTAACAATTCTAACAAGTCTAACAATTTTGTATGCCATATGTCTTGCACGGTATTGACTACACTATACATGAAGAATTACTATTTATGCATTATGTAATGCATGTTAATTAATTTTTTTATTGGAAGAAATTACAGCTTTGAGTATTTGCACTTCCTGAAACGACAGCCAAACATCCCAATATGTTTAAGCCATTTCCCTGTTAAGCCATTTCCCAGTAAACAAAATTCCTTGGGGATAATATAATAATGTAGTTCTTCTGGCTAAACATCGGGATGTTGGTTTCAATCATTTCTTCATAGAAAAGATATTGAACTAAAAAAAAATAAAAGATAAAAAAAAATAAAAGATAGAAATCTCATACTATTAAATACTCCGTCCTGATTTACTATATCTAATGGTTCTAAACAGGGTCCATCATTCCCATTTTTATATTACCTATAACTCGAGTGCCTGATAAAGCTATACATTTTTATCTGTACATTATTAAATATTACTGTATTACTGTCAGGAATAGAGCCACTAGAGGCATATTTAACACACCAATATAACCATTGCCATATTTAGTAATACAGCAATGCTTTACATTCCAGGGTTAAAAAGTAGGGATCGACAGATTATCTGTTTTGACGATATTATCGGCCGATTTTCCGATTTTTTGTAAGTATTGGTACCGGCCGATAATCACAGGTAATACCGATAATGAGGTGGGTGCTAGATCAGAGTGACCGGCAGCAGGTGGGAGCACAGCACTCCCTCCTGCCAGGTACTCTGTGTAGCATGGCCGAGCGGAGCAGTGCGCACCGAGGTACAGGAACTTCGGTTTCTGTATCCAGCCAGACTGAAAGGAAGTGCTCACTGAGAGAGCACTTCCTGTCAGTCCAGCCAGGTACAGGAGACTGAATCTCCTGTACAGCGGTGTGCAGTGCTCCGCTACGCTACCAGGAGACACACCGGGGAGCAGGGAAGATACGCACCGGGGACCAAGGAGGGGAGAGAAAGAGGGGCACTAAGGGATGGGGGGTGGAAGGTAAAGATCACTATGGGATGGGGTGGTAGAACACTAAGGGACAGGGGGTGGGGGTGGTAAGGAACACTATGGGACAGGAAGGGGGATGAAGAAGAACACTATAGGGGGATGAAGAACACTAGGACAGGAAGGGGATAGAAAGAACACTATGGGACAGGAAAGGGAGATGAGAAGAACACTATGGGACAGGGAAAGGGGAAGAAGAACACTATGGGACAGGAAGGGGGGATGAAGAACACTATGGGACAGGGAAGAAGGGGATGAAGGGACAGGGAAGGGGATGAAGAACACTATGGGACAGGGAAGGGGGGATGAAGAACATTAAGGGAGGACACTAAGGTACAGGGGTGGGAAGGAAAAAGGAACACTGGGGTGAGGGGCACTAAAAGAGAAGGGAGAGGAACATTAAGGGGAATGGGGGGGCACTAAGAGACAGGTAAGGGGGGGCACTAAGACAGGTAAGATTTGGGTGGTAAGAGATCTGTGGGTGTGATGGCTTTGGCTTGGTCTGGGGGCAGTATGGTGGTTAGCAGGCGCTTGATCGTGTGCGGTAGGTCAGCCTCTGGCAACCCTCTGGGATCCCCCTGACCTTTATATTGAGTCATAAAGATTTGGTTCAATATTCTTGAAAAAATGAAAAAAATCTGATTGGCATGTATATTTTGTGCATTTACCACTTAATAAATAAAAAATAAAAAAAAATAAAAAAGATTAGCAAAAAATAAATTAAAAAAAGTACGGTAAATGCACAGAATATCGGTAAGCTATCGGCTATTGGCCTGAAAGTTCACAGATTCTCAGTATCGACTCTATAAAAATCAATATCAGTTGATCTCTAGTTAAAAGTAAATGTCTGAGTACCTTTAGTGGTTCTTTAAACTGTTTTACTAAGGTATGACAATGTGCTAAATTTCCCCAGGCACTTGTGCCTCATCTGGTTCTCTGCGGGAGAAACTGAATATCTCTGTAGAGGTAAGCACGGCCATGCCAGGACTGCAAGCTCTCAGCTGATGCTAATTCGAGTTATTGGGTTCTACAGCAGTAAAAGACTGGAAACAGAGTATGTGGACCCAGCAAAACCCAAGTCATTTGTTTTTAGTTTAACCACTTATGTTATGGTACCACCTGTATACATACATCTTTCTAAAACCGCTGAACAATTACGATGAAAGGTTTTGAAAAAGACTTGGTTATGTTATCAGGGCTTTTGAGATTATATATATATATATATATATATATATATATATATATATATATATATATATATATATATATATATATATATATATATATATATATATATTATACATATATATATATTATACATATATATATTATACAAGTCAGAAAAACAATAAAACATTGGTATACACCATGGAACAAATTTCTAAACTGAATGTAATCATAGACAGATGATGCGACCAGATCAAACTATTTACAATTCACATAACACCTAACTTACCTCTCCACAGTAGCTATATTTTCCCTTTAAAATCTGTCGATAGAGTCTGGTTCTGTTATCATCCTCAAAGGGCATAGTACCACTCAAAAGTATGTAAGATATTACTCCCAAAGCCCACATATCCACAGAGTTGGTATATGGTTTTCTCACTAGAATTTCAGGTGCAATATACTCTGGAGTTCCACAAGTAGTCTTCATTAAACAATCATCCCCTTTTTTTCGTGCACTTGCAAGACCAAAGTCCGTGATCATGATTTTGGAGTCTGTTCCTGGATGATAATACAATAGATTTTCAGGTTTTAAGTCTCTGTGAGTAATACCTAGAATGTGTAAGTATTTCACTCCTTCCAAAACCATCTGCAATACACGAGTAGCATCTCTCTCAGTGAAGGATCCTTTGGCAATAATACGGTCAAAAAGTTCCCCACCTGTTGCCAACTCCATCACCATATAAACCCTTTCCTGAGTCTCAAACACTTCAATAAGTTGAATAATGTTGGTGTGTCTAACTCTCCTCAGTACACTAAGCTCTGATTCACACACTTCCCTTCCCTCTCTATATTTAGTCTCAATCATTTTAATAGCATAAGGTTGCTTGGAGGCTTTATGTTCAACTCGCACAACACGGCTAAAACTGCCTCTTCCTATGAGTGCCTTAATGTCATACTTGGCAGTAACTCGTGGATCAAACTTAGCTCGGTACCTAGCTACTTTGTTTTTCCGAGAGTCTGTATTTTCTATATGATTGTGCAAATACTCATGAGGGTATGGAGGAGATAAAGAGGTTTTCTTCAAATCAGTCTGATCAGAGTCAGTGATGAAATGCTTATACATGTCATTTTTTGATTCCATAAAAGGTTCCACCTTTTTGATCAAGTCTATCTGAACATTCTTTGGTGGTTCCGGAAGCACCTTGCTTGTCCCACAACCCATCATTGAGTGATGCTACGTATTCCATGCGGACATGGTATCAGCGTAGCTCCATTAAGAATGATGTCAGCACCCCTTGTTTACCTGCAGTGGAGGTATAAAAAACAAACTGTTTATTTTTGAATAATTAAAGCCAACAATACCCTTTAACAAAAACTAGGTGAATCTAGAACAAATCTTAAAATGATAAAATATGAATAAGTCAAATAGAAAAATAGTATAAATATACATACTTTATTAGATATTTTATGAAGTGTAGTGTAAAGGGACACAACAGGCATCAACCCCCAATTTATTTAATGCATTAAAGAAAACAAACAATACCGTTTACAGTTATTAGATGTGCAGTGCTTGCACAGGCAGGCCTTGGAGCTGGCAGATTTGTCTGGCCACAAAGAGTCTCCACAAATCAGAAACTTCTCATTTTGATCTATGGAGTTTGATCTCATACAACAAACTATGGTAAAAAGAACACTAACACTATAAATACATTTATTTATACAGTTAGGAGCGTTGTCTTACTCATTTATACAATTGAGCCTTCATGTGAATGAAAAATAAAGAAACTAAACTCTGCTTTTATCGAGCTGCCGCCACTCCTCCCTCTTCTCAGATCATCCTAATGGATAACCACGGGCCAATCCTATGCTTCTCGTAGAGAAACATTGATTTAAGTGTGGCAAATCCTTCCCACACCATGTTTAGACCTCCAGTCAGGAGTATCATTTTAGTCTGTGGGGTTGGATCTTACCCGTAAATCCCATCCAGCATGGTTTATGAGATAAGTAGTTTATCACCCATGAGCAGTTCAACACACAAAACTTATGATGAGTGGTAGTGCTGAATAAATTGATAGTCATAAAGCTGTTGCTTATTAGTTTACACACAGCCCTGTTCATGAATTGGTGAACCAGGTTATGTTAAGCTCTCAGCAGAGCCACTGAGCACACAACAAATCTTAAACAAAATAAAAGGAACAAAAAAAAAAAAAAAAAAAAAAAAAGATATATTACACACACACACACACACAAAACATTAAAATTAACTGCCTAATATAAAAGAAGTATTGTAGACATATGGCTATCACCATGATCTATCAATCCAATGATTTGTCTATGAAGCATGGAATACACACTCAATTATTGAATCTAGTAGAAATTGACTAGGCCAAAGGTAGTGGTTATTCCAGACTTGAATATACCACCCTCCTAGTGGTCAGTCACACCTTTAAATGACACTCCAGTGGTGTCAAGGGGCATAACCCCAAAAATGGAAGTACTAGAAAATGACTTTCCTGTTACTGGTCACTGAAACCAGAACCAGGACTGTCAGCTGGACAAAATATTAGTAAATAATAGATAATTAAATCAAAATTGCCATCAATATGTCGGAATATAGAGAGGGTTCATACGTAGATTCAAGTGATTAAAATAGCCTAAATGGCACTTCTCCTGTCTAAAGGACTCTTAGACGTAAAGAATCTATTTGAGACTCAGGACTTTAATATAATCAACCATAGTATGTCCATGTCAACATCAAAAGCGGTTGTGGAATGAGCCTTTAAATTAACTCCTGTAATCTAGATGGAAAAGACAATCAGTCAAGGAGGAACTTTGAATAGTGGCTGTATATAAAGTAACACTTGTAGCAAAGCCCGCTGTATCAAAAAAGCTACAATAAGAGTGTAGTTAAGCAATCAGCAATTAAGGATAACAGCATTTAGCTGGATACCAAGTAACATATAATAAAAGGAAAAAAGTCTACATGAAAATTCGTAGATTAATCACAAAATATGTCAGAAATGATAAATCTTAAGTTAGTGGTTTCCTAAATCGCTATGGGGTACAAAGAGTATCTGTTGCCCCCTCAAATACATACAGAGCCAGTCCAGATTCCTCAATCAAATAGATAATTCCAATCTAGATAGCATATCAGGAGTGACAGGAGGAAAAGGTGAAAAATTAGGAAATAATAGTGCTAATGTGTAGAACCATGCTTAGAGTGCTGGTTACCTACACATCGTGAAATAGTGCCCTAGAAGTGAAAATAAAAAGTGAGTGAAAGTGAAGGAGAAAAACCTCCTTCAACCCGACGCGCGTTTCGGTGCTGTGATGCACCTTCGTCAGGGGATGAATTCGTTATGGACCCTAGACCTTGTTTAAATAATAATGAAGTGTTGCTAGGGAATCTGCATTATAAAAAGCCACAATATTTGATTATGTATATCAGAGGCATTTATTACCTAGTATTTATGTAGACACACTGGTATATGAGTATCTGGCAATTTATTTACGATCACCAAGCCATTTGATAATACCCGCACATGGGAATTTTGGGTATAAGCTCAGCTATTACTATTTTCACATGACTGCTAAGAACAGTATAGCGGGTGTTAATTCCGCCCGTAAATCGAGAATGAGGCTTGATAATGAAATGATCATTACCCTAATAGGAAGTACAGTTAACCTGACCGCCCATATTTATATAATCCTTATGATATCCTGGGATAGGTATTAGGTCCCCATGGCTGAGCGAGGGTTAAAATCCCTTATTTCCACTTTTTAGAGGTTTTTCGCTCAAAGCCTCTCTACCCATTCTCATGATCCTACAGGCGTCCAGATAACCCATGATGAACCGTCTACTTCTCAAACAATGCCTTGTGATAGCAATACACTGACTTTACATGATATAAATGTCTTGACGCATCATCCGTCTCTGATTATAAAATTTACACAGATATATTCACCTTCGTCCTTTCCCTATTCTATGAAGCAAGTCACTCCATCCAATGAGTACATACAGGGTTAAATATAAACCACACAATGTAGAGGTGGACTTAACCCTGATTGGAGTTGTTTTTTTTTTTTTTTTTCTTTTCTTTATTTAAACAGCGAATTAGCATATTCTGACGTCATTTTGGCGCCAACTGACGGTCCACATAGGAACCCTGATTGGTGGTCCATAACGAATTCAGCCCCTGACGAAGGTGCATCACAGCACCGAAACGCGCGTCGGGTTGAAGGAGGTTTTTCTCCTTCACTTTCACTCACTTTTTATTTTCACTTCTAGGGCACTATTTCACGATGTGTAGGTAACCAGCACTCTAAGCATGGTTCTACACATTAGCACTATTATTTCCTAATTTTTCACCTTTTCCTCCTGTCACTCCTGATATGCTATCTAGATTGGAATTATCTATTTGATTGAGGAATCTGGACTGGCTCTGTATGTATTTGAGGGGGCAACAGATACTCTTTGTACCCCATAGCGATTTAGGAAACCACTAACTTAAGATTTATCATTTCTGACATATTTTGTGATTAATCTACGAATTTTCATGTAGACTTTTTTCCTTTTATTATATGTTACTTGGTATCCAGCTAAATGCTGTTATCCTTAATTGCTGATTGCTTAACTACACTCTTATTGTAGCTTTTTTGATACAGCGGGCTTTGCTACAAGTGTTACTTTATATACAGCCACTATTCAAAGACTGATTGTCTTTTCCATCTAGATTACAGGAGTTAATTTAAAGGCTCATTCCACAACCGCTTTTACTGTTGACATGGACATACTATGGTTGATTATATTAAAGTCCTGAGTCTCAAATAGATTCTTTACGTCTAAGAGTCCTTTAGACAGGAGAAGAGCCATTTAGGCTATTTTAATCACTTGAATCTACGTATGAACCCTCTCTATATTCCGACATATTGATGGCAATTTTGATTTAATTATCTATTATTTACTAATATTTTGTCCAGCTGACAGTCCTGGTTCTGGTTTCAGTGACCAGTAACAGGAAAGTCATTTTCTAGTACAATTATTGAATCTATTTTAGTTTAAAGTCACAAGTGACCATAAAATTGACAGCAACTAAAAGAATGAGAACTGCAAAATTAAAACAGTACTTTTTCTCAGCTACTGTTTTCAAGCGCCTCAGCAACTTTGATTCAAAATTCATTCAAATGCAGTGTGTTTAAAAGATATAGTCTTTATGAAATGCGGATGCTCAATGCATTGGAATTCTATTGAAATTCCAATGCAATCCAAAGATGCCACATGACAAATGATTGACTACTGTATTATGGTAAATCAGAGGTTTACGGTCCACTTTTGTCCAATCCCAGTAGCTCTGAAATTCATTCATCATCATACTTATTGTGAGACTCTGTCTATGGAGGTTCCGGAAACACTCACTGCAGTACTATCATATATGACAAGACAACAGCACTAACGCGGTTCCTGGAAAGAAAAGCGCCAGGAGCTGTAGAATACCTAAAATAAAGATGGTGACAGCCGCGAGGGACAGCTCACAGAAGTAAGACCTATCTTCACTAGGCCACCTTTATGTGCCCCCCACCCCGCAAGTATGATAAACACTTTAAATGAATTCTTATGCGTTGTGTGTTTAATCTGGGGAAGTTTAGGAGATTCATGGCTAGTTAGGTCAGTAAATTTGAACAAGCTAAGCTAGGAATATGCTAAAGAATGTCTGTACAAACAAACATCAGAAACAAAATCACATATTATATTAGGTTCCATCTATCCAATAAAAGGATGCATCTGATAAAAATAAGTATATTAGGCTTAAAGGGTAACCCCAATCTTTTTAAGTGCATTATTTTCCTATCTTGTAAAGCACTTCTTACTTATTTCCCCCACGTTTTTTTTTTTGCTTATAAAAAAAAAAAAAAAAAGTTTAAAATATAAATAAATTTAAATAAAAAAAAAAAAAAAGCTCGTCAAAACTGTCGACACTGCACATCATTCAGTTATAGTCCATGTTCCAATCTTATTTGGGAAGGGAGTTAGCATAGCAGGAGGCCACAAGGAGGCATATAATAGAGAAAGTGTAGAGAAAAGAGTGGGTGCTCCACTGACTGAGTTCTGCACGGTATGGATAGAATAGGTGAAGGGAGAGGGCAGCATGTAATGCCAGAAGGATGACAGATGGAAAAACAAAGTCACACACTGTCTCTATGTCCAGCATTATAACAGGATGATAAAGGTGGGGAGGAAATCACAATTACAATCATATTCCTGGCATTGTGTGTAAAGGGTTTAATAGAGTAAGTGAAGGGGAAGGAGGCAGGGCTGGACGGAAAGATGGATTGATGTTCTAACACCAAGGGAAGGGAGGGAGAATGGGCTTCACAGTCAGCTCTGTCTACAACTGAAGAAGGCGATTGCATCAGCATGACAAAGTCATTTTTGCACAGAACTCACATTGTGCAGTCTGGAACAGACTTACGGGCTGCCTAAGTCACATGTGCCAGGAGTGTAACTAGTCCCCAAAACAAAAGTCATATTTCTGTAAGTGCGGCATTTCCTTCCTCCATGACCACTTCTAAAAGCAGGTTGGAGTAACACTTTTTTTTTAATAAGAACTTACCCTCTCACTCCAGGAACAGACATAGCACCCCAGCAAATCTTCCCTCATGTCCCCCAACAGCTGAATGTTAAAGTGCCATAGCCATGGATCATGGGCATCCAGCGATGAGACAAGGACCAGAGACACCTAGGGGAAGAAATTAAACAAGATGTAAAAGGGTCCTATTCCAACAAGCTTACAGTCTAAAGAAAGGTAGGCATAGTTACACAAATAGTAAGATGACATTGCATGTCTTATAGAACTCAGATTTTAAATATAAACAGGATTGTTTAATAAAGTGAGAATTGTCATGACGTCAAAACGAATTTCAAATGTGAGGCCAAAATAGCAGGACCCGGCAGGACCAGGTAAAAAGGCAACCCGTTGTAAAATGGTTTTGCCCTGTTACGAGGCGATGGCGGCAGGGTTCTCCTACATTATAAGCAAACTATAGGGGGGATAGATACAGCACTGACTCTGGTGGGCAGCAAACACTGAAACTTGGGTACCCGAACAACCCCAAAATACTATACAAGTAAACAAAAAAAGAGAAAGAGGTTGCGCCAAATACAGTGAGGCTAGTACTTGATAATAGGTTGCAACATTAATATCACATCGAATACAAATACCAAGAGTTCCAAAATCTATTGAAGTTGAGTGGAGCACCTACGCTGTTTACAGTGAGCATGTGTGCTCCACTAAATGTAAGTACATTTCCTATTTACAAATAGAACATTCTTATATACAGAGGGCACTTTTTTTTTTGTTTCTGTTTTTATTATATGCCTATTGTTGAATATGGAAGAATACCCAAGAAAAATCCGTGAGCATGGATTACACCGCTTCATGCTTGTGAGTGTTTACTTCATTTTAGTAAACATTTTAAGATCCTGTTATTGGATTGTACTATTGGCACTTTTTGTCTCCACATTTATATATTGCATGTGAGATGGGCACCTTCTGAGTACTACAAAGCAGTGACGGATCATCCATTCCATATCCTGTGACAAGGATTGTATTGTCAAATACTAACATCTGAGAGCCAACAGATAGCTCAATTTTTGTGAGTGTATTTTCAATCATCGTTAATTTTCTCCTTTGATGCATACAATATTATATTATCTTGTTTTTCCTATATTTTTATTTCATATTATGGAACTGATTTGAGTTGGTAAAAATATTGGATTACTTGCCAAATTTACTTACCTTACAAAGACACTCTGCTGCACAACCTCAATAGACTGTGACTCTTGGTATTTGTATTAGATGTGATATTAATTTTGCAACTTATCAGTTACTACCCTCACTGTATTTGGTGCAACCCGTTTCTCTTTTTATTTTTACTTCTACATTATAATCACTACAGCAGGCTATAGTGCATGTGATGGTTTAAATAACTCTTTAAATTCCATTTCAATTCACTTTGAATTTTCAACAGTTCCCATGTTAGTAAATAACGCTGTTATAGTATGCATAAAAAGTTACATGGCATAAAGCAGCTGTAGAGTAAGAAGCAATGTGGCAATAAAAGTTACGTGAAATGTGGCAGAAGCTCGCTGTAGTGGTTATATTGTCTGGAGTGCCATCTTACCATCCGCTGGTGGCTTATCAAATCATTTAGGAATGGTTTGATGTAAGCTGCGGCTCTTTGCTGAGGTAAGCACAACTGCGCTTGGCTCAATGAATAGAGCTTCTGGCTCTCTAGCAAGATCTGGGCCCATGCTCTTACCTGGGACTGGTGGAGCAGAACAAGCAGGGTCTGCCTTTATCCTGGGAAGCCATCACTATAACGCTTAGCCAAGGCAGGGGTCAGGATGGGCTGAGGGGCCAGTCAGTTCAGTTCAGCTAGCACAGTGATGGCTAACCTTGAGACCATAAATTGTTTCTGGACTACATTTCCCATGATGCTCCGCTAGCTTTTAGACTCTAATGCTAGCTGAGAATCATGGGAAATGTAGCCCAGAAACAATTTATGGTGTCAAGGTTAGCCATCACTGAGTTAGCATGATATGTGCCCCTAGCATGATTTTAACTTGAAAACTTTGAAATGCTTAGCTCATTTAACTTTAATACCTTCTGCTGACCCAATACATATGACACGTCTTCCTGATCGCTCTCTATGCCCCTCACTTCTATGCATTGATCTACTCTTGTTTTCTTATTAACACTAGCCTTGATGTTTAAGCAGTGCTATGGCTTTCCCAGCATAATCAACTGTTTACTCTTTTCTATGACTAACCATGGAAGCATAGCTTGAATATATGTTATTTCCTTATATAAAAAATAAACAAACAGTGCAATTAACTCTAGGCATCTCATATTGCTATCGTATGCATGTCTTGTCATTGTCAACTTATGAAATGTCTACACATGCATGTTTGTTAAACTATGCACTGCAAAAATAAAGAATTTTAAAAAATACAAAAAGAGCATTTGTGAGGCTAATCACTGATGTTGGATTTGTAATCTGCATTCCACTTCATCGCTAAGGTGTGCAACAGGGTTTAAGTCAGGGCTCTCTGCACATCACTCAATATGCTTCAAACCAAACTTATCAAACTATTTATTAATGAACATTGCTTGATCTACATGGGCACAGTTATGCTGGAAGATGAAAAGGCCTTCCCCCAAACATTTGCCACAGGGTTGGAAGCACAAAATTATCTAAAATGTCTTTGTATTCTGTAGAATTACAGTGGTCCTTCACTAGAATGAAGAGGCCTAGTCCAAACTATGTAAAACCATCCCAGACCTTTTTCTCTCCTCCACCATGCTTAACAGCAGGCACTATGCAATCTGGTAGGTAGCATTCTCTTGACATCTGCCCCTGCCAGATTCTTCCAGTAGACCGCTAGATAGTGAAGTGTGATTCAGCTCTCCAGTGAACACATTTCCACAGATCCAGAGTTCAGTGGCAGCATGCTCTATGCCAGTGGTAGTCAAGCCCACTAGTGGGCAATTTCAGCTGTCATGGTTCGCAGTGGTGGGTTTTATCTGCGACCTTCAGTTCTCCAGCACAGCCACATGCTCCAAAGAAGGTGCGTGCCTCACCTCCAACCATGTAGAGAGATTTTACAAAAATGCCCAACACGCATTAGGTGAATGTCTCTTTTTGCAAAATTTCTTTTGACGTCTAAAACGAAATGCGTGCGCAGCTGCACTCCTGATTGGGACAGACAGGGGCATGATGAGGTTACACTCCAGAAGAGGAGGGAAGCTTGAGCACTCGATGTAAAAGCAGGGACTGTTGGCATTTAGAGTAGCCGATATTGAACTTTGGCAAGCCAAGTTCTGAATTTTCCATTGACAAATTCCTGCTATTTTCTGTTTACTTGGTTTGCTTAACATAAAATAAACAAAAAGAAAAATGAAAAGAAGTTAAGGAAAGAGAAAATAAAGAGAAAGAAAAAAGGACCCCTGATATACAGGGATATTAATATTTTCTGTTTTATTTTTTGTTAGATAACAATAAAGTGGACTACCTAGTTCAGCCTTCCCGCTGGAGATTGCAATAAGGAAGGAGAAGAGAGAAGAAGAAAGGAAAGGAGAAAAACCAAGGAAAAGTTAAAAAAAGAGAAATAAAAAAAATTAAAAAAAATTAATTCTATTTTATATAAACTTTATTTTTCTTCAATTTAAGCAGCTCCTGCACTAGTATGCGCTGCATCGATGTAGATGCGTAAATTCATTAAAATGTAAATTATATATCTATAAATAATAAATGTAAGTTTTGGGGGTTTTTTTAAACCCTTCTTTCTAAAAAGATTTTTGCACTAATTAATGCGAGTTAATGCTGCACCGGTGTGCGGTAAGGAAATTTTACCAACAAAAAAGATACATAAGTAGGCGGTAGGTATTAAAATGTTGACTACCCCTACTGTACACCATTCAAGCCTAAATCCATTTCATGAAGCTCCAGACGAACAATTCTTGAACTGATGTTACTTCTAGAGGCAGTTTGGAAATTTGCGGTGAGTAATGTAACAGATAATAGGCAGTTTTTACTGCTTCACTTGGTGCCCCACACTGTGAGTATGTATGGGGCTCTTCTTTGTGGCTGAGCTGTTGTCGCTGCTAAAAACTTCTGATTCACAAAGGCACCAAAGTTAACTGGGGCAAGTATAGTATGGGAGAAATTGTGCAGACTGACTTGTTTGTCAGGAGGCATCCTATGACAGTAAATATCAAAAATTATGCAAGCGTTTAGTAGATTTACCCCTTAAAACATAGTTATTTTATTATTTATATAGCGCCAGCAAATTCCATAGCACTGTACAACGGGTGGACGAACAGACACGTAATTGTAACCAGACAAATGGACGCACAGGAACAGAGGGGTTAAGGGCCCTGCTCAATGAGCTTACATGCTAAAGGGAGTGGGGTATAGTGACACAAAGGGTATAAGTAGGGGTAATGAAATAGATTGCTAGAAAAGTATTCACTGAGGGCTTAGTAGGTAATGTTTGACAGTTGCATGAGAGGAATCATGGGGGGGGGAGGTGGAATGAAAATCTGCTAACAGTTTTTAGATGATATGCTTTGAAGTGTGTTTTCAAAGATTTTTTGAAAGAGTGGAGACTGGGTGAAAGTCTAACGGAGAAGGGAAGAGAGTTCCACAGAAAAGGTGCAGCCCTGGAGAAGTCTTGGAGGCGAGCATCAGATGTGGGAGTACGGACAGAGGATAGACGTAGGTCTTCAACAGAACGCAGGGGCCTCGACGGGATATACTTGTGTATTAGGGAGGATAGGTAGGTTGGAGCAGCATTATGTAGGGACTTGTAAGCAAGCACCAGAATCTTAAATTGAGCCCTATATCTAACTGGAAGCCAATGTAAGGACTGACAGGGGGGGGGAGGTGGTGGAAGGTGCGGGCGGATAGGAAAATGAGCCTCGCCGCCATATTCATTATAGATTGCAGCAGTGACTGGGAACACGTAAGACCATTGAGAAGGGGACTGCAGTAGTCAAGGCGAGAAGGAACAACAGCATAGACCAGCACCTTAGTCACGTCTAGTGTTAAAAAGTGGCAGATGCGAGCTATGTTTTAGTTGACAGGTTTCTACAAGTGCCCCTTTACAAGGCTAATGTAAGCATTATATATAGACCCAGTGTACAAAACATACCGTTGGAAATAAGTTTATATACAGTACAGTGTTCGTTTAAATGCAAGTATTTTGTGACTTTGTGAAATAAATGTATCCAAGTACCTTTAAACGATACAAAAGAGCTGCATAGCGTAACACTGTTACATTTGCATCAGCTGAATA